AAGACATCACTTATCTTTCAATCACATGGTACATAGTACATAGTACTTCTAAATCGCTAATCAGCCGGATAGCTGGGTCAATAAATATCTAGAGATCTCTGCAAACAAAAAGATAAAAGGAAAATGAAGAACTGGAAGCCGTTTCTTGATTTGATTTTGTATATATTTCATTACATGTATTCATTCGTTAATAATAATTAACAATAATAATAGTTGACATAAAATACAATAAGAGTAATAATTAATAAGAAACTAATTATCTTTCCTTCCTGTGACAGCTGCCTCAATGCCCTAAAGATCCTAGCAGTCCTACAGAGTTTATGGTTTCTTTTTTGACGTTTGAAACGAATAAACAGAATTCGAGAGAGTAGAAAAAGTTTTGTGCTTATGTTGTTATACATATGTTGGACATGTACGTCACCTTCAATGCTATTGGTTACATTTCCCTCGTGTTTTTTTTTTTTTATTTTTTTCTGCTTTTGTTAATCACGAGTTAACATTACAATGATTATTTAAATAGTTTAGTTTATATGTATATGCATATGTAAATAACTCACATTCAAGCCCTTACACAAAACTACTACTTTTCTTTCTTTTATATATTTCATATAAATCATGTAAGTAGTGTCTGTGTTTTAAAAGTGTTAGAAAAACCACATGAAACTTTATTTGCCATAAACACGGACGTTAGATTGTTCATAAAAACATTCGCGAAAATTGCAATGATCACTTTTGCTAGCTAAGCGTTTCGTTAACTCATACTTATATGATTTATATAAAAATGACTTCAATCTCCTTGTCTACATTAAACGTGCAAATCGTAGATATTTATGAAAAAAGTTTGATAAGCACTTTTCTAAATATTATGAAAGTTTATACGTTATATAGAAGAAGCTACGTTTCTAAAAGGATATATAAATATTCCTATAGAAATATTTCCAGCTTGTCACGCAGCAGAATAACACCTACAACAGTTTCGTAGGTATCTTTCAACGGTTATTCGAAAATTTGATTATAATTTATACGTTTCAACTTTCGATTGTTTCGTAGAAGTTGCGTAATATCTACATCATCTCGTGATCGAAATAATTTGCACGTTCTTAATTTTCAATGAAAGTAAAAATAAAAGAAGTCAAATATTAGTAAAATTCAAAGCTTCAGAAATAAAAGCGGAAGATCATGAATACCCTTGGTATTATGTTTTTTGATTTTAAGCTAAACAAAATAAATATTATAAAATACATGATCACAAATTTCGAGTTATGTCATGATCATCTCAATGCAAAATGAAGATGTGGTTTCTCGCTACAAACACCGAGCACTTTTCTGATTATATTTGTCGTCATTGCGGTGCGTTCGAACTAATTCAAAGGATCAACTTCAACGTATTCGAAAATGAATGATGATGGAGTGTTAGTAGCGTCAACTAAGATTTCAGTCGATGTCAATTCAATGTTTGGATTTCGCCATCCATTGGTATCAGTTCCACTGATATCCAGACCAAGTCGTAAATTAGCTGGAGTATTACCAATGACAAAATGGTCTTCTGTCAATGGTAACGCATCTTTTAACAGAAGCCTGCAAGGCATAACAACGTAAAGATAAAAAATATTTACATTACTTCAATAATGCAGCTACAATACAACAAATGCATTCAACAATTGCAATAATTAAATGTGATAAAATGTGAAAGAGTATCGTGTAGTGTCCTACCAAATGTTTTCGTCAGCAACAATGTGAACTTTGGGTACAGGGAATCCATTGAATGGCGAAGCAACTGGTAACGTGTACGCTCCCATATTTTCAAAAATTATCCAATCACCGAGATCCATTTCTTGCAATAAAACATTTTCGACGACTTGATCCAAACCATCGCATGTTGGTCCCCAAATACTTGAGGCAATCATCTTTCCACAACCTTTCTGTTAATGCCAAAATGTTTATTATTAAACAATGAATCATCTTTCCACGACTTTTCTGGTAATGCCAAAACGTTTATTATTAAACAACGAATCATTTTTCCACAATTTTGCTATTAATACTAAAATATCGATTATCAAAAGTGATGAAGAATTTAGTATTTAGAAATGTACGTGCCAGTTTTAAATACTACAATTAATGGCAATAATTACTTTTAAAGGTATAGGGGTGACACGCTGATGATCATAGAGTAGACAATTGAAGGAGCCATAAACGCCATCATTGATATAGTACATGTTGTGCGTGATTGTATTCGGTGAATTTTCGTTACCACGCACTGAACGCTTGCTATGAATGCTGGTTGCGAGTGTAAATGCAGAAGCAACATAAAAACGACCAGGTTCAGCAATTACGTGAACAGCATCAGCTAAAAATTGTTATTATAAGTAAACAATGATGGAATATTATAAAAATAAAGTAATAATGACGTAAATCAATACTACTTACTGTTGAAGTACTCGTCAAGTGCTTTGTTAACGACATCAGCAATTTTATCAATGCTAGTGCCTTTATTTCCAGGATAGCCACCACCAATATCTAAAAGATATGGCTTAAAACCGAGATCTGTTGCTAAGTCAAACAATATCTTGGAATGACGTATGGCTCGGTGAAACACAGGTGGATCTTGACAACCAGATCCGACGTGAAAACTGATACCAATGACTTTGAGTCCCAATGCGCGCGAAAGACGTAAGAGGTTTGGTGCTTCGTATATCGGATCACAACCAAATTTCATACCCAATAGACATTGGGCTGTTTCTGCATCACAACGAATTCTAATTACAACCTATAATAAAAAAAAATAATAAGTTACAAAAAATTATAGCATATATATACACGTTTTGATATGTACAAAAAAAAAGTATTTCCTACTACCTTGGCATCTGGATGAAGTTTCTTAATCTTATGTAACTCGCTTTCATTGTCTACTGTCATTACATCAACACCAACAGCAGCAGCTTGACGTATATGCGATGCTGGTTTAGCTGGGTTGGCAAAGATGATTCTCGACGGGTCTACTCCAACACTTAATACTTTATTAATCTCCGTCTACAAATAGCAGTGAATAGTAAATCTTAGTTAGGTTACTTATCTCAAGTATCTATTAACTAATATCAATGACATGGTATTAAGTTACACTTACTTTTGATGCGCAGTCGAAACCAATACCAAGAGCAGCCAATACCTCGATTACAATTAAATTGTCGTTACATTTTACAGCTGAAATTTCACGAAGAAATTAATTAATTTTTAATTCGTAATGAAACACAATATGCAATATTTATTAATTATTTATTACCGTAATACGGGCTGATGCGAGGCATTTTTTCCTTCCACACTTGATGTTTACGTACAATATCTCCAATATCAAGTACGTAAAAAGCTTCTTCTTGCAATCCGCTTAAAGCAATATCTTTGATGACAGTCATAACACTTGACGCACTGTCCAAAACATGGATACGTTCGTTCAGATTTGTTACCTTCATATTGACTATTTTATAAGTTTTTGAAAGATACTCTGTAGGTGCTAGGCAGCAAACTGAAATTTTTAAAAATTATTAGGTTATACGATATTGGCAATATCTGGTTATTTTTTCATAAAACATTGAATGCTACATACGAGGCAGCTGTCAATGAGAATTAGGTGTGTCGTGAGGAAGCGGATTAAGACAAGATCACTATAGGGGTGCTAGCAAAGCCACGGGGGCTCTGCGTTCAGGGCCAACTTCCAGTTGCCGCAGATATTCACACACCCACCAATAGACTGGCCTACCAGCCTATCGCAGATAGAACCCTGTAACAAAAAATGCATATTCCCAAAATTATTATTCCATATAATTAAAAATTGTTTAACTCATTTTACTACAACTTTTTAATACAATTTTTTATTTATTGTGAATTCCTTGCAAACAATATCTTCATATTTAAGTCAGTTAAAAATATTACAATGGCTATTTCCCAAAATGTTTTTCGACTAGACTAATAACCTAGTAGTAAGTAAATATATTCCTTATCAAAGTTTCTAGATTAATGCTAAACTTTAAAGATTGCTCTATTAAATATGAATCTCCTCATCCAAAAATAGTATTCTAGAGGAAAACATACAAGAATATGATAAAATAATCAAATCTTTAAACCCATTACAGTTTCTATCAAAAAATGCTATACACAATTCTGTTTTTCACACAAATGTGGTTTAAAAAATAGAATATTATATTTTTACAATTATATTTAACATTAACATAAAGTTTCCTATTGCATAACAAGCAAATAAATATAATCCATAAAAAGTTAATACAATCTTTTATATTTCACACAACAAAATTTTAAACAGAATTAATGTGAAGATATTTTACTGATGTATTATAGTATGGTTATATTTTTAATTGACATTTGATTTACATAGTGAAACATTGCTCAAGCATGTATAATTAATTCACTTTCTACAGATCAATACATTTAGTAGCATGTGTCAAACATTTTCCAATAGCCCCAAATTAATCTTATCATATTTTATCAGTTTCAATTAAATGTATTTTTTGCCAGACTTCAAAGATATCAGGCTGAAGCTTGTATGAAAAAAATGTTCATATACATTCTACATTAACTTTTATTAAAACTTTGATAAATGTAATGAGTTTTACTTAAATAAAATCCTTACAGAACATAATTCTTTTTAAACTAAATAAGCAATAACAGATCACAAAGATTTATACAAGGAGCTGCAACAATAGTTCTTAGGAAAAAACTTCAAAACTCACCTGGCGTTTAAAAGTAATTCTCGTAGCTTTTACAACACGTAACACCAATAAAACAATTAAATCAGAGGTTTGAATGAACTTGAATCTTTGTGAGACAACTATCTTTGTAACAATTTGAAACAAACACTAACACCAATAAAGAAACAGATTGGAAAATTGTTACACGTTTTTGGTATGGCCCAAAATGTCTTCAATGAAGAAACGTTATGGACAATCAAGAATACAGGATAATACTGAACCTGAAGTAACTATTTGGGCCACTATTTATACGAGAAAGATAAGTACTATCAGGCAGCCTTTGCATGGTACCAAGTCTACTTCATGGAACAAAGCTTATCTGACGGCCAAGAAATACATGGTTCACAGAAATCCAATTGGACATGGAGGGGTAATGCACACGCCACTCAGAGATCGTCTTCATTGGGGGCATGGAAATACCGTGTTTAATCTATGCTAAGCTGTTGAAAATTAAAGATTACAATCATTCATCAAAATCATTTGACAAATGACTGATAACATCTGTATAATATATTCACAGTCAAAATTCAAGTATGTATTAAATAATTACTTATGTTATTTTTAAATTATACATTTTGATAGAAATGTAATAAAATTTATGTCACAAATCACATTGCAAATTTATGTGATAC